TGCAACAGGAACAGCAACAGCCCACACTCACACATCGCGTGGGGTTGTTTCGAGTGGAGCGAGCGTGGAGAGCGAGAGTTGTCACGCACACGGTTGGATTGGGCTGCTCTCTGGCTGCCCTGATCGATATTGAAAGATTCACCCTCATACATACTAAAATCACCTACATAGAGGTTTTAGGTTTTTGATAAAATACCTGAAATGTCAAAGTATTTATTTAAGTACTAGTTGTTGCCCGCGACTTCGTTCCGGCAGTATTTAATAAAAATGTAATTCGTTTTTACTCTCTTGTTCTAGACATACTCGTAGTAAGAGTCAATTCTATCAATAAGATTAGCAATTTTAATTTAAACAAATTAATTATATAAAGTTTTGTCAATAATGCACTTCAGCACGCCATCTCGAATTCAACTATTTAACTATAACTATGATTGAATCTCAATGTCAAATTTTATTCTATAGAAAAGTGCAGTTTTGAGGATTTTCCCGGCAAGTATTCGAATATTTCTCACCTTATAAACCTTCCCTAGACCTCCACGAATAATTCAAGACCAAGATAAGATGAATCCGTTCAGCCGTTCTCGAGTTTTAGCGCGACTAACGAACAGCAATTCATTTTTATATATATAGATGATGACATTTAAATAATTTTATGTATTTAACTATTCTAAAAGTAAAAAATTCTAAAATTTTGAATAACTTTTGAACCAATCATGTAAATTAAATGCTTTTTGATTATTTTTTTGATAAGAATAGTCTATAATTAAGATTAAAATTTTTTATCAGAAGATTATTATATTTTTGTCTGATGTGAGATGAATAAATATTTTTATCAGCACATTCCGCATGAGAAATCTTCAACCGTTTCAACCCTCGCTGCAGATAACACAAATAATAAGACTACGCCTCGCAAGCAAGCATGAAACAAAAGGAATGCGATTCCAGGAAGCTTCCTGACTGCTTTTCTTCCTGTGCGCAGAGAGTACGAGTATCTACAAGCAGCCAATTTTCAAATTCAATTTACGTGGAACAAAAGTCTCCTTTTTTCTCCTTAGAACTTTTTTGGTGCAAAAATAAATATTTTTAGCTATGCGTAGTTTTAATTCCATTGATGCTATTGTTTTAGTATTCCTGCCAGGGGGTCGGTTTGGGTTGGCTGGCAAATAAATTAATTCGAGTGGCAATAATAGGGTAATAGGGTAAGTGCGCAATTTAATCAAAGTGCAGGGATAAAAACAATTGAGGTGCGGTGCGTCCGTATCAACATCGTCGTCGGTGGCGGCGGCGGCAGTGGCGGAGTCCGAGGGCAAACATTCGCCGCGTTTCATCGCCCATCGCCTACGATCCTTTCTTTCCTAGCCTTATATCTATATCCTTGCCAAACCGGCTTCGTAAAGAATACGCTCGTGTAGAGACATGTTGACTCGCCGCCGTCCGCCGAGCGAGAGACAATGAAATTTCCAGCCACTAGACTCGAAGAATCAGAGTTTTCTAATGAAAATGCTTTGAATTCCTTTATTTTTTGTTGTTTTAAAATTAAATAAAATTAACTAAATCACAAAAAATCAAATTTATTTTCTCTCAGAACTCTCTCTGCGATAACCAATGGTAAAGAAGATTTGAAATCTGAATTTTCCACCAATGTCGACATTTACATACGCCGCGCTGAAAATCTATAGGTGCTCGCAAGTCAACCCCACGCAGTTCATCCCTTCATCCCCTTCATGCGCGGCGTCGCGCGTTTTTCGAGCACGCGCACCACGTTTGTTTTTTATTGATGCACGGCTCCCGAGGCTTTAAAATGCGTCCCGTCGTCTTGCCCACGTTTCTTCCACCAATCGCGAGTGAGGGAAAGTTTCACCCTCGTTTAAATTGTAAATTTGATTATGCGTACAAGCGAAGGAAGGATGCCACGCATCGTGATCGACCCTTTTATGGCTGGATACATAAGAAATATATAAGATAGACATAAAATCGTTTTTTTATAAAGTCTACAAGTCTGTGAGACATTGCTAAGGGTAAAGGCTGGAAGGAAATAAGGGATGAAAAAGGAAAAACACATTAAAATGGCTGCCACAGGAATTTTAAAGAATTTTTGATAAAAATCAATTTTTTGTTTAGTTTTAAAGTCAAAATTAAAAAAAAATAAAAATTAAGATGTCAGAAAAGAAAGGATTAAAGCAAATTACTCCTACAGTGACTTCCTAGAAATCTTAGGAAATGTTTGGAGTCCTGCAAAAGACCGATACAAAATCCTAGCTCATTATGTTGACCCATCGTGCACACTCGGGTCGTTCCTGGCCGGAACGTGGGCGGCGTGCGACAGGGCCGAAACCAATTATTCGTCATTGTTGCCAATGCCAGAGCTCAGAGTTGGAAGCCATCGAGGCAGATCAGCGACAGCACTACAAATTTAGCCAAACGCGTTTGCCTAGTCGAGGTCTGCATTCGTACAGATAAGAAGGACCAAGTGTCCAAGCAGAGCAAAGTCCAGTATGAAAATAAGATCTTAATTTAGATTAACCTATAATTTTCTGCCAGTAGATGGCATTAGTAGTAGTACTAGTATAGAAATGTCAAAAATGATTTTTTTGGATTTCTATGCATTTACCTAGAAATAAAAGAAAAATATATGCTCGCGATGGTGGCGGCTGCGCTGCGGTAATTGCATTATATTTTCGTTGCGATGGCGGGCGTCGACGCCGCCACCACCACCGCCGCCAACCACTTTTATGCAATTATAGCGCCACTTTACTGCCGTCGCACCGCCCAGCCAGCCGCCGCCACTATATAATGGATATGTCCGCCTTGCAGTTATAATGTTCTTTAATGTACATTTTTTGATATAATTTTCTTCCTCCGTCGCGGAATGTAATATCGCTAAGAGCTAAGTGAGTTCAGTGCTTTTATAGTTCCTCTCGCACATAGTATACTAGTATACAAAACTTTAAATTTCATTTCCAACTCTGTTACCTATGTTTTTTTTTCTTCTACGCATGCGCAGTTGTTTTTCTAGGCGGAGTAAAAATTCCGCACTTTTTCTGATTTCAAAAGTGTAGGAAGATTGCTTAAGTGTGTGTGCGCGACAAGTCCCCAAGGTGCGATCTCGCGGCAATCACATTGCAACAGGGGCGGCGCGCGCCCCGTGCACAAACGTCACCGGATATGAATTATATTGCGAGCGCGCCACCATCGCACCGACCGCACATGGCACGAAACGTTATCTTGCGCGCCTGACAGGGGCGTCAAGCGGTCGCGCGCAAATGTATAATCACAATGATATATTGCGCCAATTGCCACTCGACGTTATATAACGCTGGCGATTCGCGCACATAAATCATCCAGCATCGAGCGCATAAAAATTATAAGCAGAGGATGAAATTATCCTCGAGCGCAATTGTCAGTGGGAATTAATTTATGGCTTAATTGTTTTTTTCGATGATTTCTATCTATGCATGCAAAGTTGTGGGTTTTTGACGCGCATGCGCAGTTCAATTGTGGGCGGAGCAAGATTTTATAAATTGTTTAATAACTTTTGAAATTATTAACCAAATTTAAATATTTTTTCGGTTTTTGTTAAGTATAATTATTTTGCGTGTTATAAAATGAATTTTTGCAATATTTTATTTTATTTCGCATTGTTAAAATTCAAGATCTGTCGATGCGAATATGGCGAGAGCAACAAGACGACCCGAGCAGAACGAGGAAATTTCTCCCCGGCGAGCATAAGCGGCTTACGCCGAGCTTCGGGGCGCAGGAAACGAATGTATAACGAACCGACGCGCGATTCGTCCACCTAGTGTTCCGGTTTTCCTCCACATCCTTGAAAATACCTCGCGCTGTACTAGAATCACTCCTTTCTGCAACATCTTTTATATAATAATATTTTCAATGGGCGCTGCACGCTCTTCGGCAAAGGTTGTCTTGGCGTGTTCGGTGCTCAGATGCTTGGGGTGAGACGAAGGGAAAACGGAAAATGTAGCAATGTTGTGTTGTGTGCGGCCCCTAAAATCGAAGAAAATGCAAGAATACAAATACACGACTACAAACACACGACGTCCGTCTCGGATGCTTTTTCCCTACGATATTCGCTACTTACGCAAGCCGATTGCAAAGCGAGAGTTTCGTATTCAAGGCACGCACGACGTCGCCTTTGTCGCCATGTCACCAGAAAGCAGACGCAAACGTTGTTGTGACGATGGGGCGGAATATGTTTGATATTTTGATGACGTTGAGCTTTTCACTTTGTGACAGGAAAAAAATTGAAGGATACAAAAAGTTATAAAAAAATATTTTGAACTAAGTGAAGAAATTTTGCATTTGTTTAAAGTTTTTATGATAGAGTAAGAAATTCACGATATTTTAGTAAAAAATATTAAAATTGCTTCAGTAGTTCAGGAGATATTTAAATTTTAAAAATTGAATGCTTGTAGAAGCATTTGTAACTACTGCGGTTGCGCAGTTGGTACTGGGCGGAGCATAATTTCCTAAAACTTCGTTTAATTCATAAACTAATCAAGCGATTTTAAATCTGTTTTACTGTTTGACATCTTCAATCATCTTCTATAAGAATTCCCGAATGTAGTTTATTTTTGTTTAATATAAAACAAATAAAACAAGTAAATTTACATTAAATTTAATGAGAAAGTCAGTCACCACCTGCTTCTTTTCTGCGCGCTGCATTGCGCAGATGATTACAATTGCAAATTAAACTTGTGCGATTAATAAACATTTTAACGATCGACTTTATAAGCACATACATTTATGTATGCATTATATACGTACAAAAACAATATCTTTGGGAGCCGCGCGCGGCCGGAGTTTTTAATGCGGTTATAAAAGAGAATTTGTAATTGTAATTCGCTGCGAGACGCAGCAAGCACCAAAAAGCACACACACCTAATTACGACGACAACAGCACAGATGTTTTCATTGTATTTATAACGACAATGTCTTTAATATTGTCGAAATATTAACGAAAATCATTTTTGTATTTTTAGTTTTGATTCGGCTCGCTCGAATTCATCATGGATGAGAGCAGCGGTGATGGCAGCGGCTTTCCGCGGGAATATTACGAGATCAACACAAACACATCGAGGAGCAAAATCTTCGCCGGCTGCTTACCATTACCAAGTCAATGAGCAGCGCGCACACCGCTTTAATGCATCAGGATGGCCTGCTTATACGCGGGCGGCTTTCGACTGTATAAACAAAAACACCATTGGGATCACCGAAGATATCAGATTTATTTCTCAACGCAAGTATTTTAAAATCATTTTAAAATTATATTTTTGATTATAAAAAATTATTTTTTTATTTTTAGGATGATTTTTAGGTGTATTCTGCAAGATTGTATTGAAAATTTGTAGCTAAGCACTTTTATGACTCAAGGGTGGTTGCAGGTTGGGGTGGAATGAAGTGGATGCTGCATTATTCAACATTGATTCCGGATGCTGGACCTCGGGAAGAAAATCTAGCCGGAATGACGAATAAAGCACGTCAATACAATGTCACGATGTCGTCCAGTCAATAAAATAAATACCAAATGTGACTCACTATCAAAACTTGATAAGGTATAAAATAATAATAATTATTATTCAATTAAAAGAAAACTAAAGGTTTTGTAGGTGGGTTTAAAGTTGGATATAAATTAAATATCAATTCAATTACCTCCCGAAAAAGCTTTAAAAAAAGAGCGTAGGAATGTCAACAATCTTGAGATTGCTCGATCGAGGACTCAAAGTTCACGTCGAAATCTAATTCGCGACGATGTATTGCTGATTGGCCGAGTAGCAGGACTCGAAGTCGAATAGTCAAACACATTTCCCAATCGTCTTTACCCTCCGATTGAAATCCGCTGCGCCACAATCGGGTAGCGCCGCGTTTCTTTTTTGCGTCAGTCAAACGTTTGTCTTTCCAGTCATTGAAGTTTGTTTTCTTCGCTTCGACAATGACAGGAATTTACAATTACTTTTCCCCCATTCGCACGGATTTCCTTTATCCAGCGAGGGCTTTTTATTATCGCCGCCGTAAGGGAGGATTTTAATTAAACTGCTAATAAACCGATGGGCTACCGCTCTACGAGTTTCAGCCAATTGAAATAAAAGTGATTTATTTAATTGTTAATTTGAAGATTAGATTTTTACCTTTACAGGTAAAGGAAACAACAAAAATTACGGGATAAATTTGTGGTCAGTCAATCGCAGAGATTCCCATAGAATAAACATAGAAAAAAATTAAAAGAGGTTGTAGAACATTCGTTGTGGATAATTTTAGATTTAAATTAATAGATTTTAAAATATCGACACAATGGTAACGCGATAATGTAGTGTAATATTTTATTGAATACACGCGTGAGTGAATGAACGCTGATGAATGAAATATTGAAATGCACGTAGTGTCTATTACGCTTTGTGTTTGGGTGGCCTGTTGGTATTCATTCATTTTACACCGGTTTTTTTCGACCAAAAAATAAAAATAAATTATGTAATTGATTAATGCTCTTCATTTTCACAAAATAATCAATAATTGTGAGAAACAGGAAACCAAACTGTATTTTTAAATTCTTTTATAACCAAAACATCGAAATACTGAATTAGTTTAGAATCTATTTCATTATGCACTAGTTGGTAAAGCATGACTGTTAAAACTCAACGTTTTTTACTGAATGAAAAGTCAGTAGGCGTTTAATGTCCACGTAAACCGAATTATTTTCATGCTAAACAGCTTAGAACCGAAGTGTGTTTTTTGTTTAAAGGTTTAAATTTTATTTTGACCGCTTGATTACTTGTTAATCAAGCAGAACCGAATTTTGTTTAGTTGTACATGGTACATAGGTGTAGCTATATTTATTAGGTCGATGGGAAAGTGTTAACAATCGCAATAAATTCAAGTGATTTATGACATTTCAATAGGACGATTGTTTTCCGTTTTTATTTGCTCAGCAAATTCATAATATCTAGCATCGTGGATTGGACGAAATAATTTTTGGCAAAATCTCAATAAAGTTGCGTTTTTCCAGCTGTAGTGAAGTTTTTTTGACAAAATTCTGCAGTCAGAGCAATAAGAATCACGAGAGCACGAATGACAAACGCCCGGAACTAGAAGCAAATATATTTTCGGTTCGTTGTCGTTTTTATGGGCAATGCACACACCATAGTAATGCCAAGAAATCATCTTCAGGAAACAACGCAAAAAATGCATCCAAGCAAAAATTCAAAATGGAATTCATTATTGTAGAAAAAAATCCAAAATATATTTTCAATGTTTTAAATCTTGCGGTATGGAATGACATTTTGACAAAATTAATTCCATCCAAAATCATCAATCATACTTTGTCCACGTAGTGTTGCTGCGCGCGAGCAAGCTTCACGCTAATCAGTTTAACGACCAAAATTAATTAATAATTAGGCAAATTAAAATCGCTGTGTGTTTTACGGTTCTGGCGGTTTGCTGGGCTGGTTAATTTGATTAAGCATAATTGCGTGAACCTCATGCGCGGTGAAATTCTTTCGGCGTGCCGCGAAAATCATCGCGGCGTTTAAAAGCGAATTCGGAGCGACGTCCGTCATTCGCGACTCTCCGGACGAGCGCAATTAACAATTAAAACGAGTGACTGCGTAATTAAATACAAAACAAAAAATAACAAAACAAATTACTTAGAAAAAAGTACTGTTGCTTATTGTGTTAATGTTGTTAGTTTCGATTAATTTTGATTGTACTTAGATTAAACGTTTATGAGTATGTACCTACTTTGTGAATTAAAAGTTTTCATAGTTGTTCGCAATATTGTATTTATTGTCTGCTAATCACATTAATTACGTGCGAATGAATCATGATCGATTGCAGACACCGTACAACGAAATTCGTAATTTATTAAAACGCACTCTAATATGTGCATTTTAATTGTCAGGTGGCATTTTCTCTTATAGATTGTTCGATAGCCTAGAGAATTTCACTTTAATTGAGCGGATTATTTATTTAGATTTATTTGAAGTGTCTAATTGCCAAGTGAAGGCAATCGTTTATAGTCGGTGCGGTCAATTGTTTGGAATTGTGGATATTTCCTATTTTGTACTTGTGAATGACTTTTAGTTTGAGCAACAATGAGAAAATTAATATTACCTGGCATGCATATGGCATTTATCCTTGAATACAATGAATATATATTAAATTTCAAAATTAAAATCTGTCCTTAAGTTGCTAAGAACTATATAAAAACTATTTCTGTTTTCTTTAGAAAAAATCTTTAAAAAATTGTTTTTTTTTTGTTTCAATTGAACAAAAACAATAAAAATTCAGTTATTTTAATGCCCATACAGTCAAAAATTTACGCAGATGTTGGATTAATCAAGTAAACACATAAAAATTTTAAAGTTCTTGTTGAGAATAAAGTTTTTGACTTTTTTTTACAATTTTTTGACCAAAAATTATATAAAAATGTTATCAATAAAATGTCTAAGTACACAATTATATTTACAATTTAATTTCTACACAAATTATTCACATAACTTGAATTGTTAGAAAATGATTAATGAATAAAACTTAAACAATTGTTCAAATTGAACAAAAGGTTTCAATGCATATTAAAATTTATAATTTATAAAAAATTGCTTGAAAACTTGTAGACATATCTAGGCTGTGCGTCATCCGCCGACACAAAGTCGTAAAGTTTATATACTTTACGCAAATAATTTGAAAAGTGTGTAATTACACGCATTTACCTAAATGGCCATTAGTAGTCATATTTTTACGTTATTAACTGATTAACATTAGATGTGCAGAGGATAATTAGACGCACACGCTGGTTGCGCTTATGGAGAGCGGCGCTGAGCGAAATTAAAATTAAATTAAATATGATAAAAAGCGGCGCGCGCCACGCGCTTTTAGGAGGCAATAACATCCACAAGTTATTGCTGATATACATACATGCGCGCGCCACGGCTGAGGCAATAACAATGGTCATAATGGCACTCTAATAATAATGAAAAATAATTAAATATCGTGGCTAATTAGACGATAGTAGTTCAGTCGTAATTAGCGTACCGGAGTACTTATGGCTACGAAATTAACCAATCGAATAGGAAATTAGAGTACGAATAGAGTACGATTAAATGTACTCGTAAGCAGAAAAAAAATTTTTAGTTTTTGAAAGAAAATTCTCTAAAATTTGATGTTTTGGTACATAACTTAATAAATTATTGAAGAGTTACAATTTATGGATGATAGACTGAATGATAACGATATTACAAGTTAAAAACTATAGCAAAATTTACAAATTTTGGGTTTCTTCTTGCGTTTCTTAGTTTTCAACAAATTTCAACAAAAAACAAATAATTACCGCGTATAAATTAAGTTTTACAGTAATATTATTATTATTTAAAAAAAAGTATTAACCTAGGATATATTATGTTCTTGTATGAAAGTGTTTCCACAAGCCTTTTATCTATTAATTTGTCAAAAAAAAACGTTTTAAATATATTTTTTTTCATTTTCTTAAATACTTTAAAAAATTCAAATAAAATCCATAAATTTTAGAATTATTTAGAATTATTGTGAGTATGACATTAAAACATCTCGCAGTTTGTCTAATTAAGCCCCTGCTTTCCGACACTAATGACTATATTAAAATATGCACTCGGTAATGAACTCATACCTATTGTCCCGACGGAGATTTAATGAAAACATAAAAATGAATTTGCGTTCACGAGCATATGGGTATGCCCAGCAAGGCCGCTCCGTAATCATATTTAATTTCGTAGCCGCTCATACTCATATAATATTCCTCCATAAGTGGGCTGAGTGCGGAACAATGCGGCGGAAAAGCCGAAGATTAATTAGAATAATGCCTTCTTATTAGAAATGTTGTGTACCTACATAAATGCTAACCATAGCTCGATTAGAATACGACCGATTCTGCGTATCTAATTATTTAAATATCTGCGTGCATAAAAAGTCATAATAAAACTATAAAGATAATTATAGATATAGTTAATGGAGATTTAAATATTCTACAAATTTGTGAACTTGGGTTGGAATTATAATTATAATATTTTATGATAGTAATTATATTATAGTATTTTTAATTGTTTTCGTTATTTTTTTAAAAATTAGTGATTTTGATGACATTTTATGTGGTTTTGTGATGCACCGTAGGGAAATGCGCAGGCGCAAGCTCCACCTCGTGACTAAAGCCCGTGACTAAAGTACTTTTCTCACAATCTTGGCCGTTGGTGGTTAAAAACCACTTTTTGTGTCTCAAAACCATAGAAAAACAGGTGGAAGTACAAAAAAATACTTTATGATTATTTTTTAATTTCTGCTTAATATGAGAAATATTAATACCTATGTAGGTATGTAGGAGTTGATGGTACATGTGTACGAATGCTAATTGCATCGCGTTTCATTTTTATTAATCGTAAAATTAAGCCTATCAAAAGGCATAAAGTAATACAAAGCAGAGTTACCCAGTGAGCGTGCGCACATCGAGTTCAATTGAAGATTGCGGCCTGCTAATTTATATGTGCACACAGGCACATGAATAATGAGTGGTATGCAAAGTCAAAACCGACGCGCCGACGTTAACGCGCGTAATTACAGATCGCCGATCGTAATCTCATTTTTATTCCGCTAATGTTATTTATTCTTCTGTGTGCTGAATATTCGTCATTTGGAATAAATCCTTTTGATCAACAGAAGTACTCAAACAGTGTATATACAGGCTCCATCATAATTTTACTGCTTTGTTTATGCTATCAATAACGTCAAAAGTTTTTTTAAATAAATTATGGAGTTTTCTTTTATATTCAAATGCGCAGTTAAGTAATTTCACGCTAATAAGAGTCTAACCATGTTTGCTCACGATGTGTGAAAACTCAGCGCAGGGCGAATGTTTGGAAACGCTGATGTCTTATTTTATGCTTTTCTTCCGGTCGCAATTTACGTAGTCCTTAACTCTCGCACAGTTGAAATTAACATGCGACTTGCGCTGCAATAAAATGTGTAATAAATTTTTAATTGCGCGCCGAGGCTTGTTACATGCGGACAAATTTTTATTAATATTACAAATTACAAATAGCAAAAAAGAAACAGACGTAGCTACAATAATTTAATAATAAATTCGTGATGTAATCATAAGAAAAATTTTAATAAAAAAAATTCTACTTAAAAGTTACTAAAACAAATGTATTTTAACAAGAAATGCAAAGATTTCTAATTTCAAGAAAAACTCAACAATTAATTGCATTTCCAACAAATTAAACGAAAAGAAATCGTGTGATTGAATTCCTGGTGTGATTTCCTCGTCAATTTCCCACACTTCTCTGCTGCACATCATTCAAAAAAATATTTAACCAATTTGTACAACTAAATAATTCTCATTAAATGATTTAAGCTACTTCTGCTTCTTCTAACGATCACTTTTTCACCGCGATGAAGTGAGTGAAAACTTACTGATAATTCTAACACTGCCTCTGTTGTTGCTTGCTGCTTACAGAGGACACACGAGACGAAAGAATGGACGGAAAGAGTTGAAGTGTTTCGAGAAGCGGAGGATGTCGCGCAGAATGCGGCGACGAGCGGCACATCTTTATAAAGCATCATCGCGGCGTCCATCGGCGAAATGCATCGATAATAGCGCACCGACGCGGGCACCGTGAGAACTGTTGTCCGACATCTTCACCTGAAGCACACCGTCTAGACACTCTAAACTCTACTCTAAATTATTTCAAAATAGTACACACCGCGTAACAAGATTGAAAAATTGATGCGTGGATAACGTACAAAATTATTATTTTTTCTCAATTCCATTCTGGTGAGTTGAAAAGGAAATAATTATCGCATACCGTACAATTTACGTAATTTCAATGATTTTCCAGAAAAGCGCAGCGATTGTATTGCAATGTCACCGCTGCCGCAAAAGCGTTTAATGTCAATGACGCACAAACAAAGTGGATTAATGCAACGCGCAAATTTTGCAATGAATACAATACAAATACGGCAAATGCAGACTTTACCTACACTTCAAATCGACTACGTGCGCTGATTTAATGCCTAAACTTTTCAGCGAATTTACATCAAACACTACAGTTTGCTTAAACAATCGGTATCAACTTAATTCTTGCTTCGCATCGGCTTTGAATCGGTGGCATTTTTTCTGCATCATTCATTGTCATCGGAGCGGCGACCGACGCCGCATTGGTCATTCGCATAGAATGGCAAATAGCTGAATCCTGAATAACACAGCGAGCGACCACTTTTTCTGTCCACATCCTGAATGTCTTCGAATGCGCGCATTCGTGCAACGGCAATCGCGACATTAGTCCAGTTACGTGTGACTGTCGTGGCACATGATCACAAAGTAAATGTTTTACATATTTGCGCAAGTTTGCGAAAGGGCATCACGTTTATAAAACGTTGTAAAGCTTTTACAAGTCAATAAATTTTCGTTTTAATGCATCGCATAAAAATATTTCAGATTATAACATCAAATTTCTTATGGTAAGCATAAATTAATTTAGTCATAATATTTAAGTACTTATAACTCTGCTAATTAATATCATATAATGTTTCTGAAAACGTAGAGGGCAAGAAAATGTTTTGGAGACTTATTTGCAAGAAAAAACAACGCGTTTTGATGATTTTGTTACAAAATACCGCGAAAAAACACAATTTTCTTAGATTCTTAGCTTTTTACTTACAAATTAAGCCACCAGAGGGCAGTATCATCTGAATTTAGTAATATTTAAAGATACTAGATGGCGTCTTAGTTTCTAATCCTATTTAACATGTTTTCTTTCTAGTTTCTTTAAGGTTTTCAGCAATAAATGCAAAATATAAACTCTGAGTTCATTCTCAAAGAGATGCACGAATGCGATGTGTTTGCATTCGTGTTATTGTGATCATTTAATCGCTGCCATTACCGCGTTTATATGCAGCGTGCATATCATCAAAACGGTTCAACATTGCACTTGTGAATTCAAGTAAAACATGAATGAAACCATGTTGAGACGCGACTGAGATGTAGCTCTGCGTCGCGGCATCTTTCAAGTCCGATGCGTCGAGCGATTAAAGTGCAGAGACACCGAAAATACGTGACATCAGACACTATCTCGACGGCGGTGGCAGGCGAGATCTATTTTACCGACCAGGATAAACTTGAATAGTCAAACACGTAACACTTGAATATCTAATGTAATCTAATGTTCATGATTTAAATTCACAAATATTTTTGTTAAATGTAATTTTTTTGTGTGAATTTTAGGTATTTGAATGCTGAATTTAGCAGTGGATGGTTGATAATGTAGGTGGCAATGTCTTTGGAGATGCTGGTGAAGATAGGACGGCGGCGATGGCGGCGATATGCACACGATGTCCTTTTCCGATCGGATGGTCATCTCGCGGCCGTGCGGCGCGTGATCGCCGGGATAATTAATGGAGTGGCTCTGCCATTCATTGCGTCCGAGCTCCGAGCAAACGCCAAGATACTTCGTAAAACCGCAGGCAAGAAACTTTGTCGTACGGGGGCCACGTAACGACGAAGAACAATACTGCACGCCACCTCATGGGCCGTGCGCTCGTTATCTCTCGGCTATCACTATAAATTTTCGCGTATACTTATATTACTATTAACTAAGTAATGCGCACGAGGGGCTGGCAAAGACTTAAAAACAAAAATTCAAAAAATAAAAAATAAAAGTAAAAATATTTAACCTACTAAATTCTAATGCGTAATTAAAATCTATGTCATAATAGTTTTAATTAGATTTTAATACCAAATTTGTTAATTTCCATAAAGATAATATTTTTTTGTGTGCAACGATTGCGAAAGGTCAATCAAATGCAAAATCGCGTTTTCTCGATTTCAATCGCGTGTGTCTCCAATGCGAATTGATAAAATCAGCAAAGTAGAACGCGTATCGAATAAAAATCGCATTATTAATCACCGTGCAGGCCGCATTAATCTCTCACAGTCTCCGTGGTTGCACTGCCTTGTTGGGTAAATGCAAATGCAAATCGCGTCACTTTTTTCCTTTGCTAACGTTCATATTTTACGCGCGTCGATGCCGGTGGCAGATTATTATTGTTAGAAGGTGTAGTGCGTTTGGAGTCGCCAGGGATTAAGGACATTCCCACGATGCAACGCTTGCAAAAAACAATTATGCTATTATTTTGATATCAATAAAGAATAAATAACATTCGTAGTTGAAGGAGTTAACTAATTAAACGACATATCGACAAGATGTCATCAAGGATAGCATTGGAGCGGATAAATTTGAACGGCATTGAAATTCAGATGAGTAACAAGTCGTAACTTATTGAAAACTAGTTTCCTAGCTTTTATAATTTAGTTTTGTGTTGAAATATGATTTAATTTAATTTTTATGGAATTTTAATTATTGCCCAGACTTGTAATTGAAAATAATTGAATAATTGAGTCTATCGATGCATATTTCAATTATAGATGCATGGAACGTGAATTTTCGAAGCTTGGCTCGTCCGCATGATTGATGCATCTATCAGCGGCTAGTTGTCTATGCGTGGAATCCAGGATTCTGCGCTCGGAACAAACAGCAGTCGGACTCGGCGCACGACATATCATTCGAGTTATGCGGGTATAATTACATCTTTGCATACAGACAAATGCAGCCAGTTCCGAATAAACACCGGTGTGCGCACGGACAAATAAATAAATAATCAGCGCCATAAATTACTCAATCTGATTTATGGCGCGCGCTTCCGAGGCAGCGCGCACGAATGATAAACTGAACAATTTTAAAACACAATTTAAAATAATTCAAATAATTCCGGTTTTATCGCGACAATTGAAACGCGAAATCCAAATGCATGTTAATTACCCGCCGTTAAGCAAAATAGCCAACACATAAAATGCGTCTGGGTCTCAACGGAGTTGAACTCGTGTGTCTTGTGTCGTCTTCGGCAGGCTATAAAGAAAAAAGCGCGCATTGACAAACGGTGCGCGTCGTCGAGAAAACGCGCGCTCTAAACGGTCATAATTACCGCCGTGCCTGTCGGACGTATGCGAAATGTGAATATTTAATTCCGTCATTTAAATAATTCGCCGATTCGCGGAAGCCCGGCGTCAATTACAAACTGCCGTTTTGTCGCGCCGAGACGAGACGCGAGCTCCGGGTATTTATGTGCGCACAGCAAATAAACGCCGCGCATAACACACATAAATTAATTGATAGAGTAATTAATGCATCGATGCATTTCGTATGCCGCGGCGCGCCTTAAGTGCCCATTGTTCTTGCACAACCGCACGCAGCTCGCGACTTATGATCATAATTAACCCAAGCCAGCTCGGCCGGCATTTTTAATTACACCGGGCTTAAGCTTTAAGCCCGTTCAGGACGCGAGCGCATAGATTGTTGTCAAATTAACAAGGTTATTACGTTTTTAATGTGGAATTTTATTTTTAATCAATATTTAAATAAGAATTTAAGAGAAAAGCAGAATTTAAGCAGGAAAACTGTCGGAAAGTCTTAAAATATACTAAAAATTCTTTTTTTTTACTTTCAGTTTTAAATTGTAACTTTTTCTACCGTTTTTAGACACGAAAAGTGATATTTTATACACGGCCGTGACTAAAGTACTTTCTTGTGACTAAAACTCCCCTTTAGCCACTTGATACTTAATTGCATTTTTTAACATAAAAATTATATAAAAACACGTTTTTTGACCTTTAAGTCAGTATTTATCAAAATTCTCTCATCTATATATATATAAATAAATTGCTGTTCGTTAGTCTCGCTAAAACTCGAGAACGGCTGAACGGATTTATCTTATCTTGGTCTTGAATTATTCGTGGAGGTCTAGGGAAGGTTTAAAAGGTGAGAAAAATTCGAATAATTGCCGGGAAAATCCTCAAAACAGCTCTTTTCTATTGAATAAAATTTGACATTGAGATTCAATCATAGTTATAGTTAAATAGTTGAATTCGAGATGGCGCGCTGAAGTGCATTATTGACAAAACTTTATATAATTAATTTCTTTAAATTAAAATTGCAAATCTTATTGATAGAATTGACTCTTACTACGAGTATGTCTAGAACAAGAGAGTAAAAACGAATTACATTTTTATTAAACACTGCCGGAACGAAGTCGCGGGCAACAGCTAGTTTTAAATAAAAATATTTATGTATCCACTCATTCGTCATTCGATAACCAGCAATTTAAAATCAATGCCTCATAGAAATTTGCAATTCGCCGCATCGCGCATTAGTTATTGCCGATTGCAAGCCGTCATCGGAGTCAAAGTCAACTTAAGTCGGATTCATCAGTCGGCCATCTTTTTACGGTTACATCGCTTCTCGGTAGGCAATAATAAGGAATAAAGAATAACTGCACGGTGCGTAATGAAATTAATTTAACGTTTATCGATCATTGTTAATTCCAATTAATCCTCAACGTCCTGCAATCCGGCCGACCAACATTCAATCGCATCGGTTATAAACATCTAAACTAAAGTCTTGATGTTAACACAGTTGGAATTTATGTTGGATGTTTCGTATTTTTATATTTTTCCTGCCAGCAAGGCGGAAACAAGTGCGAAGTGCAAAACGATTGTAATATCGTATCGATTGGTCCACTACATCCACACACACGTACACGTGATGTAGGATGCAGGACGACGATGGCGACCCATCGTAAAATATGACCCTAGGGCCGTAGGTCAAACGCGCTCGACTCTATATTTCCAATATCCTGGGCTACCTCTTTCCATTCTTCGTCCTGCGACTTGCAAACCCCCAACATTCATAATGATAAAATGTATTTTATCATCATTACAAGCAAAAAATAAAAATCCCTACTAATATTATAAATGCGAAAGTCTGGATGTTTGTTACACTTTCACGCAAAAACTACTTAACCGATCATCATGAAAATTTGTACACATATTCTTAGTGGTCCCCGAATGGTTATAGGCTACTTTTTATTTAATAAAAAAATTATTTTTTAAATAAAATAAAGAAATTGTTTAGCCAATAATACCTCTGCATCTGGCTATTTGACTACTTTAACGCCATCTAGTATTCCATTATTTGATGGATTCAACGCGAGCGAAGCCGCGGGTTAAAGCTAGTATGAAATAAACGCGATGAAAATTAATTTTTTTCAAGAATATGCACCAGCGTTGTGTGGTTGAAGTTTTGTGCGTTGGAATGGTTTGATGCTGTGTCTCGTCGAGATCTCCGCGAATCTGTCACCTATCAATCAGTGACGTCGGAGCGCGCCGGTTGACCGACCACTTTTTGTCATACCGCTTCAGTGGTCGCCAGTGCAGACTCGCGAATATTTAAAATAGCCGGTGCGGTGCATATCAATTTTGTCCTGCGGTCGGTACAAACAAAAAAGAATCCAGCGGCTCGAATACTTGCATGTATTGTAATCTGCTCAGACCGACTGGAATGCGCTACTGTTTGGGCATTCCCAATACTTTTTTTTC